GTATTTTCTTTTTGTTATTCAGTGGAAGTTGGTCTTCCATTTGGTAGCAGGTTCGTGGCCTCTGTGAGCCTCCTCATAAGGTGCCTCAGTTGTGGGCAGAAGATTCCCTAGTGTGATGGCCATTCATATTATGACCTCCTTTGCCTGGTTTGAATGCATATATAGCAGACAGTTGTCTCCTTTGCTGTGCCTTGAGTCAGAAGAAACTGTGCCTTGTGTTTTAAGACACTATTCCGAGAGACAGCAATCAATGCTTTGGACTTAGCTGCACCAGACAAATTGTCTATGTGGCTTCAATGTGTGTTTATGCCATTCATGAACCTATAAAACAGTTAATGGAGACAGTAGGCAGCTCAGATCCCCAAAGGCTGATATTGCATGTGGCCATTTCTCCTGTGGTTTTCTGTATTCTAGTGTGTGATTCTGAGAAAGGGTTGTTACTGAGAACTCCCAGCAAGGATATCAAGATTATGCTTTAAAAAGCTAAGAAGAAACATAACACGGATCCAGAGCCTTTGGGTCCTAAGAAGAAGAAGACTTCTCAGGCTGAAGTCCCAACGTTCCAGCCACCATTTTCTGCTACTGAGACAATTTATCTTATTTCACAACTGTCAGACATTCTGGTTGTGCCAGATATCTCATACCATGTTCGAGCCTCACTTGATACAAAGGTTTCTTTGGAGGTTTGTTTTCTGGTGTTAGAAAGTTTTATGGAAAACCTAATTTTGTCTGATCAGGACCATAAGAACAACCAGCTTCTCGGCTTGGTGTCAGAAGGTGAGATCATCTGTTGTCACCACTTTGGATCATGTTGTATGAGATCAGCCTGGTACATTGGATTTCCTTTGGTCCAGATCTCCTTCAGTAGTAACACAATAGTCTTAGTGCCCTCTAACTCTCCATTATTCCCCTTCTTTTCCTGGTTCCAAGGCTTCCAGGGGACATAGACAAGAGGCTTGATAGGAACCGCCTCTGGCATTTTGAAAGTATCCTTTTTAGAAATACTTTTCACTACCTTAATGGGATTGCCTCGATTAATGGGAAGCCAAACTGATGAGATTACTATTGTTTGTACTGGGATGATGTCTCTGAGTACTACTGCCCTCTGCACACCCCATAACTGAGAGGAGTTCATCATCTCTCAGATCTCCACAAGTTCTTTCACTACTGTATCTTGTCAGCCTCCTTCATCTTCAGAGTCTCAATCACCTACTACTACTACAAGGTCACAGATACTGCCAGTTTCTTTTACTCTGGTTCTTGCTACCAAGACTATGCCTTGGTACCTGCTTGTCCATACTTGCATGGGCTTCTCAGTGCTCCATTTGTGTCACTAGCACAAAGAGCTTTCCTGCACATTACTGCACTAGCAGGACAGCATCCTCAAGATGCATCATATGTTTTAACTGGACCACCAATGCAGACAACACATGACGTCTCTTTGGACTCCAAAGGTGATTCAGAAGAATCAGAGTTCTACTTGGGATCATCAGTTATGGTTTTGACATTGTCACCATATGCTGACTTTGGGGACCAAAATCTCCCCTTCCCATCTGCTATAGTAGCCTTTATGCCAATCAAGTGATCAGGATGGCTAAGGAACTTGAATTATACTTAAAACAATCAGAGCAGCCCTCTTTGGACCCTGTGTTTAGGCAACTCTGGTCTCAGTCTATGCTGTTAGCAGGTATTCTGATGCTTTTTTTGTTCATGGAGGTTGCCAGGGAGTTATCTGCCCATCCCCACCCCCACCCCCAAAGTTCATCTTCAGATGACAAAACAGATATATAACAATTGGAACAGAAGCCTCACAATCAGTTGAGTTCTCCAGAAGAGGAGTAAGAAGAAAGAGCTCCAAGTCCCTGGGAAAGATGCAGGGTTTGGTTTTTGGCACAAACCTAAACCCTTCCCTGCTGGTGAAGTGAGAGGCTACATACACACAGCTATGAAACACACTCTTGAAATACAGCCTGCAAGATGGGTGTGACCGATCAGGCTGGTTTTATAAGCTGGGCTATGTGTGGATAGTTGTAATTTGGCATAATAAATATGGAAACAGGTGTAATTTGTGGGTTGTTCTGCTGTTAAAATATTGATCAGTTGTAGTTCATTGTTTTATCTCATGGAATAAAGAGATCAGAGCAAAGAGGGGAATAAGATTGGACAAATGTTAACTAAAAGTCCCTCTCTTATCTCATAATCCTAATTTGATCTGTTGGAATTGGGCTGAGAGGAGAAATTGCGTGTCATACTTTAAAAAGTTACAACAGATCCAAGTACTGCTCTCCTGTCATTACATCTAGGTTGGACCTCAAAGTCATCAGAAATATGAGGATAAGTCTTTCCTAATGGTCTCATCTTATGGAGGAAGCAAATTTATTTTCCCTCAAGATCCAAGCTTCACAGGTCATTACTGTGAATTTTATGTTTCTGGATTTGTCTTGTGAGAAGGAAAGAATCCATTCTGTAGCAAATAGTTGGATTATGTTACTTCCTGGTATTCCTGAATAGAATGTGATCTTGTAGAGCAGGGTTGGCAATTGTCGTGTGTTGGAGAGGGGTAACGCTGGCCAACTGCAGGGCCACACACATCTCCTACTATACCTCCTACCCCTGGATTGCTTTTATTTTTCAAATTTCCCCATTCCCATTCCAGTTCACATATTAGCTAAACAAATACTGTACCTCTCTTGTGCCTGAAAGAGTCCAGTGTTCTCAGATTATTGTGAAATTTTCCCAATTTCCCTAGTGTGGGAGGCACTTGGATGGGGGAGGGGGG